GAAGGACTAACATTAAATGAACAAACCACCAAATTCGAAAGAACCCAAATCGAATTTTCGAAAGAACCCAATAAGCAAATTGGAAACAACCAACTCCCACTTCCAAAGAACATAACCCCCATTTCGAATGAACCAAACCCGAAATTAGAAACAATGCCGGACAACAAGCAAGGCACCAAAGCCGGTGTCATCCGTAAATGCTTGCAGGGTCGCGTCGACACCCCGTGGTGCGGGGTCTGGCGCCGACAAAGCCTGGTAGTTCTCTTTTGCCCCGAATCTTGCAAGCTTAAACCCTGAACCCTAGACACACCCAAATTACGTAGGAGACACAACGTCTCCGCGCTTCGCACTCCGCCGCTTCTAGCCTTGGTGGTTGTGCATCTCCCGGAACTGCACTCGAATGCCCGTTCGATCCAGCTCGCAAATTGTTCGAGTCTGGACCGCATCGAGCTCCAGGCTAAGCTGCGGAGGCCGCTGCTGACCTTGCAAAACGTTCCGCTTTTCCTGCGAGCGGGAGTTCGCCGAGCGCGCTCCGAGCGCTCGTGTTCGTGCGCAGCCGACGTCGGCGAGGAAGCTGCCGAAGGCATCACCCTGCGTGCGCTTGGACGTTGTTTCTGTTGACGCCGCGCCGGCGCAGCGCCCTGCAACATCTGCTTGAGCGGTATCAGCGAGGCTGTGAGGCGATTAGCTCAACTTGCTGGAGTCCCTGCACGACTTAGCCCCTCAACGACCCCGACATCCCAGCACGGAGGACGCGGATGCACTGCTGCGGAAGCGCCGCGACGCGCGTGCCGCCTCGTCCGGAAAGGCGAGGTGAACCGCGCGCACCGTCTGCTCACCAGTGGAATGGTGGGCCAAACGTCCGCACCTTCGCTCCCTTTACTTCCGCGACCGGGTGCTTCTGCCTGCCCTGGAGCTAGCTCACCAGTCACTGCTACTCTCCCAGTCGGGTCCGCGCGCTGGAGCCTGGCTCATGTGGTCCGCATATCAAAGCGCACAATGGCAGGCATCTCATGTTGCCGCACCGCTGCATTCGAGACTTTATGGGTGCGTGCACCTGTGTGTGTGTGTGTGTGGATCACTTCAACCGGATGTAGCCCCTTGCAAAAAAGCCCGCATAGAGCAACGGGGATGCTGCGATGCCACGCTCGTTAGCCCGTGACAGGCGAAGGCGTGCCCCATCTGCGGGCTGCTTTCACCCCCGGCGAGGCTCTGCGCACCGCCGAAAACCGTAAACATGCCACCTACCTCGAGCTGCGACGCGGAGAACCCCAGCAACTTTGCGTCCTGGTTGCGGAGGTCGGCGGCCGCTGGAACGCGGATGCGCATGCGCTAGTGCGGCGCGTCCGGACCACTCCGCACGCCGCCAGCTGTGCGCGCGGCTGCCTCGAGTGTCTGGGCACGACGGTGGTGGGGCATGCTTTCGATCGCGGTGCAGCACGCGGTCGGGGGCACGGCGCTGGGCGCCGCCATGGTTGTTCCCCCGCAGCGCAACAGACCAACAGCCTGCCTTCGAGCACCTCCTCGCGCTTGCGAGGCCGGGCGGGCCGAGACGCCTCCCGCTCCGGTAGGCGGGAGGAACACCGTAGCGCAGGTACGCGAGAAAACGAAACAAAAAAAATCTAGTTTCTGGACCGATTGTCCGCTTGGATGCTTCCCATATGGTCCAAAGGCACGAAATCCGTTACAGGCAATAACCCCACGACGTGCCAACAACAAGCGGAAGCTTCTGAATACATTGTAGCACGCTACGTCGTGCATGTGACCTACATCCTCGCCGGGGATCCGCCGGTTGCCGGGGCGTCGAGCCATCGCTCGTACAGGAGGACCTCAGGCACAGCCAACCCCTTGGCGGCAGAATAAACTGTGCCGAGAGGAGGCTCGAGCAGTGAGCTGGCGAGCTAAGCGCTCCCAACGGACCCGGTCGCCTGCCTCGTACAAGGACTGCATTACGTCGTCCCGCCCTGTGTGAAGTCATCCCTTTTGCGTGTGGACATAGGGACAAGCATTTCTTCACACTATGGAATTGTTGAAGCCAATACTCGTACGTAGTCCTGAAGTTTTGGCTGGTGAATGTTTTGAATAGGTTTTCTCTTTGCAAAACTGTCGAACAAATGTGTGTTTTGTAACCGTTTCGGCTCCCGCATCTACTTGCAGACAAGGTTGTTCTAATGAGATCGTGCGTCTACTTGGGGAACAGGGAGGTTGGTGGGGTGGATTTGTGTTGAGAGGGCCGTAATATCACACGAGGGCATCCTTCACCCCAATGTCTAAATCTTCGAATGGGTATCTTGCAACTTGATGTAAATCAACAGGGCAACGGAGCGAATGCCGCATCCCGCGCGCCAGCGGGTGCTTGTGCAATCGAGCGTGTACATGCGGAATGGCTGGTTGCGAAATAACTACCATTACGAATGGGGCATAACCTCACTGGCAAGCCGCAAGCCTGGGCGTCCCGCTACGCACTGGGGCCAGCGAGAGCGCCGTCACCGAACCGGTCGACTTGGCCCCCTACAGCCGGGCCGGCCCGCATCTGGCGTGCAAGTGGCAGCAGAGCGCGAGCTGCTTGTCTTGCTGTGGCGAGCGTGGTGGCCGGGTCAAATTGGTGTGGCGGTGAGCTATCACTGTGAGGTCCCGACCGCGACTGCACCAAGGCCCGGGCACTTGGCTTCATAGCTAGCAATAACACGCTATCGCAAAACTGTTGGTTGCAGGGTGAGAATCGTAAAACCGCATCCATGGGGCCAGTTTCTGGGGCCCGGGCGGGCTCTTCGGAAGATTGCTTGCCAGTTCGGGCTTCCCAGGTCGCGTCGCCTCCACTGCTTTCCAAGACTGCTCGGTTGCTTGCAGCGAAAGTCGCAGTATGGCATACATGAGCGGCAAATCATCGGCCAGACCTGCCCAGTACGGTGCTGGGCTCGCGCGCTCCGCCGATTGCAACCCTCAGATGAGATGGCAATGATTTAAACATGTTCGCTGCGACTCATCTTGACCGTACGTCGATTGCGCTGTATCGTCACCCGAATGGCGCTCGCTGCAAAACTGGTTCAGATCTTGGGCGTGCATATGTTGTTTCCTGACATTCCCCATTCAAGACCGTAGTCTTGAACTCGAGCCGGTGCAAAAAAAATGCAAAAAAGCTGTCCCCTGCTTTGTTTGTAACGACGGAAACGTGCTTGGCTGCAGGAGGGTACACACACACACAAGGTCAGGACACCCGAGCAGCGCAGCAGCCTTGAAGCGCATCGACGCTCCCGGGCAGTTGCATGTGCGAGGCACTAACACGGACGTGGATTGGCGACGACGCAGCCGCGCAATACGACGGAATGTCTGGGACCGCGTGCGTCTGAAACGCAGGTGGGCCTTGGAGATATATAGGTCCGGTTTCTGAAAGCCGCAGCGTTCGACGGGATGCGGAACAACGCGGTTCGCCTCCCTCGGCCACATACAGCGGGTTGATATAGCTCGCCCAAACCCATGCACACACCAACCCGGACACACGTTGAACCAACCTGGAATGTGAAGATATTTTCTCCACATCGGCGCTCGAAACCTCAGTTTGCTCCTTTTTCGCGGCCAACACACGCTGCACCTGCAGCCCCTCTAAAAAACCTGTCGATTCGTTCCTCTAGCTGTGTTCCAAGACCCGAGTTTTCCTAACAGAGACTCAGACCTGAAACAACCGTCCACGCGGTCAGCAGTGAAGGGAAGGCGCATCGCACTTATAACAGAAATACACTACCCATAAGCCATCGCGGCATGGTGCGGACAAAAGCTACAAAGCACACATGAGCTAAAACCAAACATGTACGTGCTCCCATTCCAGAACCGCGTGCCCTTGCGGCTTGCTTGCCCCGGCAGCATTGTATGCACATGGCTGCACGCTGGAAGAGCCGCATGTGTGCGCAGAGCCTCGAGGCATGCTCGCTCGCGGTGTGGTCATATCGTCGATGCTCGGCATTCCCCCCACATCTGGAAACACTAGAGGTTTCAGCACGTGAGCCTGGAGACACAAAGATGAGTGCCATGTGGTTCTTGATGGTTCGATGTGCATAGTTGCTATGTGCACTTCACGTTAGACCCTAACCTCGCATGATCTGCACTACCTGTATCACAAATTTTCCCAAACATATGCGCCGACGTGCAACCGTAGTCCTTTAGCAAGCACCTGCAGTTCGGCTTAGCCTTTTCCGATGTTTGGCGCGCACATGCACAGGCTACACGAGTCACAGAACGACTTGCGTAATGCAAAACAATCGCAAACAGCACGTGCTTGCGTTACCTATCTGACGTATATGTGATCGATGCGGTGGCATCTCTGCGGCGGCACTGCTAAGTCGGGCTAGTAGCAGCACCAAACAGAAGGAAAGCATGAACTAATGCACACGGAATTGGCGAAATGCATTTCCAGAATGGTGGCAAAACGTCTGTGCTTCGCGGGGCCCGAAGTAGGCGTGCTGCAGCGGTGGGAAGGCGCGCCCCACACCAATGACGAACGAATCCGAGCAGTTCTTACATTTCCTATAGGATGACAAGGGACAGCCAAGGACACTTAAGGCTGTGGTTTGGACGGTGACAACAGCCCAACCAAGCGCACTGGCATCAGGCCGTCCACACCAACCCAAGGGCAGGTCATGACAACGCCGGGAGCAACACAAATACATACGAAGGAATCCAGTCCAGACTTCAACGAGCGGCAGCAGCACGGGAGAGTGAGCTGGGCGTGGGTGTATGTGGAAGTTGCAGGGGCGACGACTTAAATGTGCGGACACCGGCAATTCGGCCTGCGACAAGATTCTTACGCCTGTGCCGGGCCGGCATTTCCGTGTGTTCGGGACAGTGATCTCAAGGACCAAAAACACGCTGTCGAAATCTTGAGTGCGTCGTCAACATGTGTGCATCTGCAAATGATGAAATCATAAAGCTTCTTTGCTTGATCCTTTTCGCATTCATGACCGGTGTTGAACGAGCTGGGCTCCCCGCAGTCAACGTTTTTTTAGTCAAAAGCACAGTTTCAACATTAGTGTGGTTTGAGGCTGGTGTTTCCACCCAATCGGCGCTATAGAGGCAAGCCAGGCAGCTATGAAGCCATGCCGGCTTTGTAACCGAGTTTTGAGACCTTGCACATTCAACGCTTGGGAGCTCGTGATGCCTGCATGCCACCCTGAGCCACCGGACAATCAAGCGGGAAAAGCAAGGTTTCCGAAGCAACTCCGGCAAAAGCACCTGTGCAAACGAGCAGCCCCATGAATGCGGCAGTGTCCCGACATGTTAAACAACTAAGCACTTGGAAGCGGAACCGGCGCCTGAGCACAGAGGAACAAAATATGGGTTTTCCTCGTTGCCGCAACCATGACTTCTGAGCTTTTGATCTACTTCTCTTAAAATGATCATGTCAAAGAACCGTACTTCTATGCTCATGAGTCAACAAGTGGCCTTGCACCATTGCCAAAACCTCGCAGACCGCACTTCATCGTGTTCCAGCATCGACGTGAACGTCGGAGCAGCCGCATCCATCCGACGATGGGATTGCCAGCACGAACATGTCAAACCGAGGCAAGCTTCACGAATAAAAACGTGTCATCTATGGCACTATGGATGTGGAACTGTTCGTGATATTCCCTCACTGCACTTGTAAGAAACTTTGTTTGCCATGCCGCAAGCCTAAACAAGCGACGTGACGAAGTGTCGAAATTTTGACGTCGTACTTCGATTGACACGAGGGCTGCAACTAGCTTTCACTTATCCTTACATACTCAAACCGCTGAAGCATGGGATCCGCAAGATCTAACAATCACGGCCATACTGCTGTCGAGAATGTCAGCTGCAATCTTCATGCCACCGCAAGCAAGCCAAGCTCTGTGATCACTGACAACTAGAGGTGGAACACGGAAGAGCGATGCGTTGCAGTCGTGGTTCCTGAACCACCGTAAAACTTTCAAAACCAAATAAACATCCCGAACTATAATTTCGGAGTTGAGACCGGGGTGCAAATCCAATTGCACATGTATGCATAAAGAGATATGTGCACAAATTTAAGTGTGAATAAACATACATGCGTATTCAAACATAGACAAAAGCCCAGCAAAGAGATAAACATATGATCATAAAGTCACATGTATGGTACCCTCTTTCCAAAAGGTGCGATCCGCGGTCGAGCATATGAACACGCTCCTTGCTTTCTTTTGTTGTGTTCTGTTGCAAAGTGCATGTGTTTCTGCAATGGTCGTGCGCACAAAACATAAATTTCACGTAGAGTTGCATGAAAAAAAACACCACAGCACAGCAGGCCACAAAAGCATCTTCATCAAAACAAACCTGAAAATTACACGTCATGACGAGCAAAAACAATTTCGCAATGGTTTGCTAGCGACGTTCTTTGAAATCTTAAAACTCAAACTAAACAAGCCCAAATCCAAATCCTAGAAGTGAAAATCCAATTCCAATGCCATGAAGATTCTGACAAGGTCAAATAGAGCTTGCGACGTTTTCAACCGTTGAAGTTTGGCACATGGATTTGTTGTCGACGTTCTTTGGGATCTTGGAGGTCACAACCCAAACCTGGGTGAGTATGGTTTTTGGAATGCTCTCGGAAAGGAGTTGCAGAGAAAAAACGGTTTTTAAACTTTTCGAAATTCGCGAACTAGTTCAACCTCATTGTACTCACAAACGCAAGAAAATTGCAGCATGCGGCTGTCGGCTCAAAAACGTTTCTCACCGCGTCCGTCGAAAGCTCAGAGTTCGACAGCTCAAAGCACGGAGTAGCCTGCAAGAGATTTTGAGTTCCGCCATGGAAAGGGCAATTTGTGGTTGGCCGGCCTCGTTACTGCAGTGCTCGGCCCAGGAAATACAAGCAAGCAAGAAACACAAGAAACAGAGCGAAATCACTGAGAGAATGGAAATCACGCACCCACTGCAGCTTGCGGACTTGCTCAATTCTTTTCTTTCAGGTTACGTTTTCACAGGTTGCACCGCCTTAGACTCCTGCTGACAAAGATTTCCGCAGGAAAGCTGCCTTTCCGGGAGTCACTGCGAATGAGTTCTTGACTTAGGATCGCGGAAGACAGATCGCATGGACCCACGCAGCCATGAGGCCATGGAGTTTTTAATTTTTTGGCGCAATTGGCCTCAGTGCGGCTGCGTTCGGTCCTAGGAAACAAGAAAGCAACAAAAAGAAGCAACCAAGAACTGTACAAAGTGAAACATGCAAACTGAGCCGGCAAAGTCGTTCAGCATAGATTGATGTGCAATCGGAGCTCTGCGCTCACTGGCTCCGCTTTCCGCACTCCTAGGTCGCAATGGCAAAGCACAAGACCGCTTCCGGAGTCAACGGTTGCGCAACGCGGTCGCCATCCCTTTTTTTTCGCGTGAATGGGCTCGGCGTCAGCGGCTGCTGCGGTCCGTCCCGAGAAACCATAGTGAGAAGCAACGAAAAGAGTTGTAGGATTTGTGCAGCCCGCGGTGGACTGCTGTGGTGCAGAGCGATGGACCCAGTGCAAGACACACTCGTGCGTCCCACGCGGGCGGGTTTTTGGAGGCTGGTCCCCCCCTCCCCCGTGGTTAAACCCAGGTTTGAATGTGGGTTTGAACCTGGGTTCCCTCCCCCCGGGGGGAGGGGAACAACAACAACCCAGAGAACCCAGGTTTGAAACCTGGGTTTAACCTGGGTTTGCGTCTCTCTGAGTATTTTTAATTTTTCTGTTTCTGTTTTATTTCTCTTTTAACCACCTTAAGCGGTTTCGTGTGCGTCTCTTCTCGTGTCGAGGAAGATCCCTCTTCGAGTCTCTTCCTTAGTCCTTGAGCCTTTCTTCAAACCAATCCTAGCCATGCCTTGAAGCCCTCCTGGGTTTAACCTGGGTTTGAACCTGGGTTTTAACCTGAGTTAAACCTGGGTGCTTCAAACTTGGGTTTCGAACCTGGATTCGAACCTGGGTTTCAAACCTGGGTTCAAGCCTGGTTATAACTTGAGTTCATTAAACCCGGGTTCCAAACCGGGTTTACCTGGGTTTGGAACCTGGGTTTAACCTGGGTTTGAACCTGGGTTTGAACCTGGGTTTCAAATCTGGGTTCAAACCTGGGTTATAACCTGTTAAACCCGGGTTCCAAACCGGGTTTACTTGGGTTTGGAACCTGGGTTTAACCTGGGTTTGAACCTGGGTTTTAACCTGGGTCAAAACCTGGGTGCTTTAAACTTGGGTTTCGAACCTGGGTTAGAACGTGGGTTTCAAACCTGGGTTCAAACGAGCATAGGTTTTTGCAGTGTTCCGGAACCCTGGGTTCGAACACTTGGGAGGGCCCGGGGGGGGGGTGGGGGGCGGAGAACATAACACTAGAACTTATGGTTGAACCCCAAGTTCGAACACCTGGAACCGGAGTTGAACTCCGGGTTCGAACACAGTGTTCAAACTCCGAGTTCGAACACTGGTGTTTGAACCCCAAGTTCGAACACCAGTGTCAAACCTCGAGTTCGAACACTGGTGTTCGATTTCCGGGTTCGAGCACTGGTCTATAAAACGCTTTTACGAACACAAAAGAAGAGAAGCCACACGAAATCGCTTTATGGTGGCTTTTGGTAAAGAATAGAAAAAGAGAGAAGGAACATTCACCAGTGTTTGAACCCCGAGTTCAAACACTGGTGTTCGAACCCCAGTTCGAACACTGGTGTTCGAAACCTAAGTTTGAACACCAGTGTTCGAGCCTCGAGTTCAAAAACTGGTGTGCGAACCCAGAGTTCAAACACTGGTGTTCGAACCCCAGGTCCGAACACTAGTGTTCGAACCTCGAGCTCGAACACCAATGTTCGAACCCGGAGTTCAAACACGTTCTAACCTCGAGTTCGAACACTCGTGTTCGAACACTGGTCTATAAAACGCTTTTACAAACACAAAAAAAGAAGAGAAGCCACACGAAATCGCTTGATGGTGGCTTTTTGCGAAGAAAAGAAGAAGAGAAGGAACAAACACAAAAGAAGAGAAGCCACACGAAATCGCTTTATGGGGACTTTTTGCGAAGAAAAGAAAAAGAGAAGGAACATTCACCAGTGTTTGAACCCCGAGGTCAAACACTGGTGTTCGAACCCAAGTTCGAACACCAGTGTTTGAACCTCAAAAACACAAATACTGTGTTCGAACACCAGTGTTCGAAGTTCAAACACTTTGGAACACCAGTGTTCGAACTTCGGGTTCGAACACCGGCCTCCAAGTGGTGTTCGAACTGGAGTTGAACTGGAAGTTCCAATGTTGTGTTCGAACTCGAAGTTCAAGGCCTTGAACACTGTGTTCGCGGCCCTGAACTCGAAGTTCGGAACACTATGTTCCCGAACTTGGGGTTCGAACACCCCCCAAAAACCTATGTAGGGTTCAAACCTGGGTTTAACTTGGGTTTGAACCTGGGCTTTAATCTGGGTTAAACGTGGGTTCATTGAACCCGGGTTCCAAACTGGATTTGAACCTTGTTTTCAAACCTGGCTTCAAACCTGGGTTGTCACCTGGGTTTAAAAACCTGGCTTTGACCCGGAGTTGAACCCAGGTTCGAATCCAGGTTTTGTAAATTGCAAACTTCCCGACCTTTGACTCCAAACCCAAACTGCACAAAGCGAAAATGACAACGTGAACAAACGTCTTCTTTCAACACAAAACCAGATGCTTCACGAAAATCGTCCAAGAGATTTCAAAAGAAAAACAAATGCCACAAAATCGGCTTGGGGGCGCAAACGCGAACTGACCAGCGAAGACAAAATGGAGGGACTGCACCTTCCAACCTCTCCGCTTTTTGTAAATTGCAAACTCTCCGCGGTTTTCCGAACCTGCCCTTCAAGAAAGATACAGTTGGGAACCCAGGTTTAACCTGGATTCTCTTCCCTCTGGGCTGGGACTTGCGAAGAAATCAAATGAAAGAAAAAAGGACACATGAAAAAAAACAAATACAATGCAACAAAAACAAGAATGAAATTTATGCAGCAACGCAGCACTTCTGGCACGTGCAAGAGCAACTCAGTTGCTGCCAACGGTCTTCGAAACGAAAACTGTTTTGATTTGCAGTGGATTTGCACGAAGGGCGCCAGGCCTCCGTTTCTGCAGCAGTTGAGGCGCACGACCATCTGCAAGGTTTCAGACACAACATCCAAATTGGGCAACGTTGACACACCCTCGAACAGCAAGGCAGCGTAAGCAGCGTGCTGCAGTCCAACAACACTGATGTCGATTACGGCCAGCGCCAGGGGTACCTCACTTTCTTTCTGAGTGCCTGACCATAACTAGGGCTTGCGCCGGCGGGGGTTAAAAGGGTGCCGTGCCGCTGGGTCCTCGAGCTCTTTGCACCAGCGCCTCAGCTTTTTGTTGTTTGCCTCTTGAGATGGCTTCTCAGCATCGGGGGAACTCGGGGTAGGGGCTTGGACATTCGTCCGTAGCCCCGTTAGACTGCTGCTTTCCGACCGCGCCATGGTGGATTTCCACCCCGTGACAACACTGCAGCCCATCGAGCCGGCGCATCTCTATCATCTTTTTGGCGTGGGCGGC